ATCTCTACTATACACTCCCCCCTCTTACAGTCTCTGGTATCTACAATTATCTTTGCATCTCTCAGTTTTTCCATAAAGTGCAGATATTCGGTATATATTGAGTAGGGATGTACAGTGTGTATCTTTCAAAGTCTGACTCAAATATTACTACTCCAAGTAAAAACTCTCCATTCTAAGCCCTCTAGCCTTTTCCTTTAAGCCATTAGCTACCCTCATCTCTGCCTTCTTACCCTCTCACTATTCATGTTTCAAGTTCCATTGAAGTTTCTATTCTTCCAAACCTCTTTCTATTAAAAATTCATAATTCATTGAACGGAGGCACCTTAGGAAACTTCTGTCCATTAGAACATCTATAAAAGTAAACCAATATATCATTCACTGCAAAGTAAATACTTGGTAATGTTGGAAATCCCACATAAATGCAAGGTACTATTAATGCCAATATGTGTCTATTATTGCCACCATAATTGTTATGATGATGTAAAAAGTATGTTAGGTGCCCATATAACAAAAGTTTATTCAACGCTGCTGGTGCCATAGGATTACAATAGAGTGCAATTTCTATCAGTTAGTGATGTCATAGGCATTGTAATATCACAGCGTAATGCATTATTCAGTGTTTACGGTGATCCTGGTGCAAACAAGCCTATTTTGCTGCCAGTTGTATGAAAGTGTAGAACCTATGACTATGTACAGTACATGAGATTCAATAATGTAATAAACAATTGTGCTACTGACTGATGTAGCTACTACACTATACTAGTTATTGTTTGAGAGTACTCTTTGAACTTATTAAAAAAAAGTTTACCATTGGGACCAGCAGTTGGCATAATGGCTATGTCGCTGGACTCCCACGTAGTCGACTGCGGTTCTAGTGCCGGACTCCGTGGTTTAAACTCACGTTGGGCGCATGTGCATGTGTGCCCAAGATCCTGAGAGGAGAATGGAGGAGAAGGGGTTGCAGAGTGGCCATCCCCCCGGGAGTGATTTCTTGCTTTCTGTCTCTCTGTCTCTCTCTGTCTTTCTGGTAAATGCACATGCCCTATAGCAAAAGCCTCTCCAAAAATGTTTACCATAAAACCATAAAACAGTATGCTATAGGGGGACCAGCAATTGGCGTAATGGCTATGTCACTGGACTCCCATGTAGTCAACCACAGTTCAAGTCCCAGACCCAGTCACTTAAACTCACCCTGGGTGCACATGCATGCGTGCCCAAGATCCTGAAAGGAGAAGGGATTGTGGTGTGGCCATCCTCCTGGGGAGTGATTTCTCACTTTCTATCTCTCTGTCTCTCTGTCTCTCTCTCTCTCTGGCGAGCACACACACCCTATAGCTAAAACCTATTCTCCCCACCCAAAAATGCTATGTTATACTGCAATAGCCTCATATATACCAGGTTCACCAGGTCTTTTAAAAAATAATTATTTTATTTATTTATCATTATTTTAAAAATTGGACCAGAAAGAGAGAGAGAAAGTGAGAAAGAAATCCACCGGATCTGGGATGGGAACCATGGCTTACCATGTGGGAATCCAGTGCTTTAGCCACAACATCACCTGTTGTCCTCTCACCATGTCTCTTAATTGTATCATTTCCTCTTGTGCTTAGTTTAATCTTACTTTGTGTTGTTCACTGTGGTCCTTGAAGTGGAATATGACGCAGAGATGGAAGGCAGTATTATTGACAATACTGACGTTGTGGAGGCCTAGGCTAATGTGTGTGTTTGTGTCTTAAGTTTTTAAGAAAAATCTTGTAGAAAAAAGTTTATAGAACAATGATGTAAAGAAAAATTTTTGCATAGCTGTATGTTTATAATATAGTATGCTTTAAGATAAGTTTTATTGCAAAAGAGTCAAAAGGTCAAAACTTTAAATGTTTATAGAGTAAAAGAGTTATGATAAACTAAGATTAATATGTTACTGAAGGAAAACTTTTAATAATTTAGTATAACCTAAGTGTACAATATTTATGAAGTCTACAGTAATATCCAGTAATGTTCTAGGCCTTGACATTCATTCATTTACTAACTCACCTAGAGAACTTCCAGTCTTTAAAGCTCCATTTATGGTAATTATGCAGATGGTTTTTTTTTAAGTTTATTTACTTCTTGTGTATATGTGTATGTATGAGAGAGAGACAGAGAATGCATGTGCTTGCACGAAACTGACTGAGATGCTCA